TACCATCTCTTTTTCAGGCAAGTAAAATATCTGAATAGAATAGTTAAGATATCAATTATGTTAAGCTGACAGAAACTATCTTTGTGGTAGCTTATCGTATGACTTATCATTTTTAGAACTACGACTGACGCAACAGACGTCAGACATCCAAACTCATCATCAAATGTTAAAAGCCGTCTTCGAATGTTTCGTTGTCTATTCCTTCGTACTTTCATCTTTATTTCTAAGTTTTTAATATCTTTTTTTTATTTTAAATAAAATATCTTATCTACAAAATTGTGTATATATTAATTAAACTAAGGGCTGTTCACATATTACGTCATCACTTATTTTCCATTTTGGACCCCTCTCCATGCCATCACTTGTCATTTTTTCATGACCCTTCCCCATGATGATGTCATCAGTATGATTTTTTTAGCACCTTATATAATTATAAGCCATTGATTAAATTACTATTGAAGCGATATATATTGAGGGCAGATGGCAAGAAACTTTGTTTCTCGGACCAATCGGATGGTTTCAGCGTGGTCATTTTCCATTAATGTTAGTGAATCAATCACGCCCTTAACAGAAAAATTTAAGATCAAAAATCTTCGTCTCACTATATGTATATAGTTTAACTATTGATATAAACTTGAAAGGAAGGCTTTTCTCAGAATTAACATGAAACATTATCTTTGAAATAATTATGAAATATGGTAATGACCGATAGAGAATATCAAAAACTAGTTTTACATCTGTGTTTCTTCCACATCTACTTTCAATGAATGAAACTAGAGGAAGCACAGATAACACTAACAAATGGAATTCAGAGCTACAGAGTGTTCCAAAATTCCCATAGGAAAGTAAATTCGTATAACTTTCTTATTTGTCAAAAACAAATCAATCAATTCTATGTCATATGGTAGACATCACCGCAAAGTCTTTTTTTGATAAGGATAAACTTTGCAAACAATGTTGAAAATTAACACTTTTGACTGAAATATGGAAAATACGTTTTTTCGAATTTCACTGGAAAAATGAGGTTTTGATGATTTTTTTGATCGTTTCAATTTTTGCGATGGTCTGAGTTTTACACTTTTTAGTATCCTTTTGTAATAATTTTTCCACATACCATCATAAAGAGATGTCTGGTATTAAAGTCCGCTTATATATCACAACAGCATGTTAATGAAACAGTACTAAAAAGTACAAAACTCAGACCATCGCAAAAATTGAAACGATCAAAAAAATCATCAAAACCTCATTTTTCCAGTGAAATTCGAAAAAACGTATTTTCCATATTTCAGTCAAAAGTGTTAACTTTCAACATTGTTTGCAAAGTGTATCATTATCAAAAAAAGACTTTGCGGTGATGTCTACCATATGACATAGAAT